CTGATTACCTTTACATGGTCAACATATGTAATTCCTCTAACTCCTCTTTCACCACATGCTCATGTGGCTGCCCCTTCACTTCCTTTGGATCCCTGGTTGGATGTCACAGACTGTCCTCAGAGACCTATCACCAATGTAAAGAGTGGCTCTCATCTCTTGCTGTCCTGTTAGCTTGCTTTGGTTTTCTTAAGAGCCACAATCACAACCTGTCATAAAACATGCATCCATTTATTATTGCTTTTCTGATGAGAATAGGCATTTTAGACTTCTTTGCTGTTATGGTTTCAACACTAACAAGGTGCCTGGCACATAGGAGGTGGTCAATCATATCACAGATGGAATGATAAATGGCTCTGGAAAACTGTGCTGTTTGAGTTATGTCCTGTACTTTCCTGTGGCCCTGATTTTTCTTTTTTTTTGGGGGGGACTTCCAATGAGCCCTTTCCCACCATTCTAATCTGGTCTAAAAACTGAACAAAACAACTTGCTAGATATATTTTCAAAGCAAATCTGGGTTTTGCATGACACCAAATGGCTAAAATATGTAAACTTCCAGAGGTAACTATCTAACATAGGGCAGGTGTTGCCAACAGCCTGGACACAGAAACCGGAGCCTGAACCTTTGTTCTACCACTTGCTACCTGTGTGAACTTTCAACAAGCTACTTAACCTTAGTTTCGAATAGAAACTTTCTCAAATGGGGCTAAAGGTATGGTTTGTTGTTTTTTAACACAGGGTTTTGCTTTATGGTTTAGGCTGGTCTTGAACTCCCTATGTAGCCCAGGTTGGGCTTGAATTCACAGGGTGCTCCTCCTGCCTCAGCCTCCCAAGTGCTGGGATTATAGGTTTGTGCCAACCATTCTCAGCTTCAACGCACTTTTTTTTTTTTTTTTTTGTGGTACCAGGGATTGAACTCAGGACCCTGTGTTTGCCTGGCAAGCACTTATTCTACTGAGTTATCTCTCTGGCCCTGCACTTTTACCTTAAGACATTTTCAACATATGATAATGTTAAGTGAATGCAATCCCACAATACGTCAAGGAGCATCTTCACTATGTTCTGAAGACTTGACTATTATGAGTCTGTATTTTTTGTTGTTTTCACAAAGAAACCTCTAGAAAAGGTTGTGCAACTTTGATGATTTCTGACTCCAGAAATAAGCATTTGTTGTTGTGTTTGTTTGCTGTAAGGCTTCATTCTCCACCAGCAAGATGAAACTGAGAGCCACAAGGGACTGGAGCAGGAGACTGACAGAAAGATCTCTCCGCAGAGAAAATTCTTTCAGTGCTTCCCCCACTGCTCTTTGAAGGGCTGCACCTGAGGTTTGTTGCAGAGGTTCTTGTCATTTCTAAATCCTTTTTACTCACATGTTGGTTTAATTCACTTTTAATTCTCGATGCCCCAAATGTGTTCATTTTAGAGCTTCTAGCAGTGCTGTTTGCCTTCTGATCCATCCTGGGAGATTGTGAAGTTTCTCATCCAGCCTAACCCAACCCGTCTGTTCTGAGCAGTGTCCCTCCCTCCTGTCCTAGTCCTGGGCAGGGTTGCTGTTTGCATCCAGGCTTTCTTGCCTCTGTGCCTGCCTTTATTCTTTTTCCTTTCTCATGTCATACTTCTTTGGTGAAGTCACAATTCCAAAATGACTTCCTCCCCCAAAATTATCACCTGAATCTTTCTCGTTCTTCTCGGTAACAGTGCTCATTCACACCTTCAAGGCTATGAAGTTACCAACTTTTTTCTTTTTACCCAAGCTTCCTGCTTTTTTTTTTTTTTTTTTTAATTTTAGTAAGGGCCTACAGGGTCTCACTATGTAGGTCAGACTTGTAATGATCTGCCTGTGTTCAGCCTCCCAAGAGCTGGGATTACAGGTGTGTGCTGCCACACCCAGGCTCAGTCACCCTTTCCTTGTGCCAGAGGGTGGGGGGGAGGGAGGGAGGCGGCACAGCATGCCGGGGATCGAACCTTGGCTGCTGCATCTGCCTAAGCAGGTGCTTTAATTTGCTGAGCTATTTGGATGTCCCTGAAGTTATCAACTTTATAATTGATTATCTTATTGATGAACCTCCATGCATACTTGGCAAGTGCTCTACCATTTAGCTACAGTCACACTCTTTAAAGATTTCAGACAAGTTCAAAGTTTCCCGGGCTAACCTCAAGTTTGCAATCCTTCTGCCTCAGCCTCCTGAGTAGCTAGGACAACAAGTGTGTGTCACTCAGCCTGACTGCCTGTAAACTTCTTTAAGGCCACATCTCTCCCTGCTATATTCCTGCAGACCCTTGTGCAAGGCCACTCATTTCACAAGCACTCAAAGAATTCTTGTGGATGGACCAATCATTGTGAGGAAAAGACAAGATGATGACATACAACATAATGAAAATCAAAATAGCTTACTGTCCTCCACGGGGCAGAAAGTGATGTTTACCCAGTCCGAATGCTCATCTGTGAACTCTGCTCTGACTCGCAAGGTGTGGTCACCATACTTGGAAAGACTTGAGAAATCACATTCCGTGGAGGTTGTGCTCCTGCACACTTCTTGGAATTTCTTATAACTATACAACCAGAAAGACAAAATCACAAGAGCTCTAACTTTACTCTCCTGAGGCTGACTGGTGTTCTATACCTTCTGCTACCAAAGACTAATGGAGGTTAATGAGGAGAGAAATGTAAAATAGTTCTTAATAATCTGCCTTGATCAACAGAATGTATAATTCATATTCGTATTTCCCAAGCAGTATGCCATTAATGATCCTTGGATATCCTAAGCCATATAAAAATAATATATCACATGGTCAAGTAATTTTGGGCGTAACTGAGTATAAAAATAGGTATCTTCGAAAATTTTTATTAGTATAGGTTTGTAGTACACGCAATAATTACATGTACCAAAGAGAACTGCCAAGGGACTTTACTATCCTAATAAGCACCTCTGAAGAAGAGTTGACTTTTTAACACACTGGACAAAGGAAGCTTTCTCCCTTGACTGTGTATTTCTGAAAGCAGTGGGCCACAATTTCTGACATAGTGATACCCATCTACTGTAAAAAGTCAGTAGGGACAATTGAGGTCTTGTTATTTTACAATCTGCCTTTTCCATTTAATGTACCACAAACCTTTTGTTACAAATCTATCAGCTCTTCATGGCTGCCTAACACCCCATCATCTGGAAACTCCAGCGGTCATTTCGTTAGGGGGTTTCCTCACACGTGGTCATTCTTTGTTTAGGCCAATTCCTCAGTTCTTGCCTGACACGCACAGCATTTCAAAAGCCAATTTATAATAACTTCTTTTTCATGGTTATTTTATTGAATTTATAAATATTTTCCTCCACAATTAAATAGGTAACATGACTCACTCCTTATATTTACATCACATTATTGGTTATTTCCATAGTGAAAGCACCAGCACGTCGTCTAAAGTGCCCCATCGGGCTACGCCAACCCCAAAGCACACACGTTACAGCGAGCTCATGTTGTACAACTGCTCAGGCTAAATCCTAAGCAAAATTTTACCAAGCCACAGAAGTGCAATCAGGGTTTTCAGTTCAAGATTGATTTCTTCCCCAAGGCGATGCCCAGCACACGCTGTGTTCTACCTGTAGTTCCTGAGGAGGAAACCGAGGGGCCCAAGCACAGACTCTAGGTTAATATCTCCTGCTGCCCCCACACCAAGTCACAGGGATCCTTCCTGTAAAAGATGACACCCTAAACCATGCACCACTGTTACAATGGTAGATAAGGCATGGAGGCATGGAGATCAATCACAGGGAAGAGAGACAGAGAGCGGTGTATGGTAGGTCTCAGTTTGTTCCCCTCTGAAACTCTTGTGGGACTCTAGTCTCCACTGTGGGGTACAAAGAGGGTGGAAACTTAGCCTCGATGTCTTCTGGAGGGGACAGGCTTAGATGAAGCCATCTGGGTGGAGCCCCATTGAATCCTGGTGGCTTTATGAGAAGACAGAGACATGGGTGTGCACACTTGTGTTCCTTGTCTCTCACCATGGGATGTCCTTCACTGCTTTGGGACTCACCCACCCAGAAGGCTATCAGCAGACGCAGATTCTGGGCCTTGGATCTCCACAGCAGTGAGGCAAAAATAAATCCCTTCCCTTTAGAGTACCCACCTTCAGGTATTTTGTTATAGTAATGAAAAACTGATTGATACAAGAAAAAAGTTAATTTTCCATAGTGAAATCTCTAGTGTATGGGGTAGAGAAAACAGAGATGAAATAATAGAACCATATCATCAGAAAAAAAATAAGTTGTTGAACTTCAATTGTTATACTCTGGACCACTGAGTGGCTGAAAATACTGCATCAGTGTTAAAGGTTTTGAATTGCACGGTATGATGCGAAGGATGATCTGTTCTCACAAAATATATAAAATTGAAATATTAAGGGGCAAAGGATATGATATATAAGAAAGGAGGGGAAAAGGAAAATGTAGCAAACAGTAACAACTAGTGAATCCAGGTATAGGATATCTGTAAAATTTTAGTAAATACTCAAAATTTGGAGATGTTTCTGTGGGAATCATGGTGAAGTTTCACTCTGACTGGCTCTGGGATCTGCCCTGGGGACTCTCGGAGGTGTGCCTGGGTGGTGGGTTGCTGGGGGTGGCCTGAGGGGCTACGTCTGGCTTTCACCCCTCTGCTGTGGCACTGTTCCTCTGCTTTGCTTCCTGGTCACCATGAATTAAGTAGCCTTCCTCCACCTGGCGCTTCTGCCATTATACTTCTTCCTTGAAGCTAGCCTATACCGTGGACTGAGATCATGAGCAACCTAACCCTCACCTCTTTTATTTGTAGTATTAGGTCTTACAGCCACAAGAATGCTGTCTAATATGGTTCTGTTACTATGAAATTATTTTAATCCCCAAACAAAAATTTTAAAACCCAGTATATAGACAAGGATTAGCTTTTTCTCTTTTCTAAGTCATTGGCTTTGAAGGCCTTGGGTGTGTTCCCAGAAAAGGAGCTGGATGGACAGTGGACAGATTAAGAAAATCTGGAAGGGAATTTCCTCCTTCTTCACCAAAGAGCTTTCCTATTTCCTGTGTTTGAATCACTTGGGGTGCAAGTACACAAGCTCATCAGCCTTGGGACGCCTGCTGCCATGTGCAGGTGTGAAGGTGTGTCCACCTTGACAAATGGTGACAGGCTACCAAGAGAGGGCAGGTGTGGACTTTCTTCAGCAAGGAAGTATGGACAGGCAGGACAGTCCTGCTGAGATAATTGTCCAGGCTAACAGTCACCCTTCCTTTCTAGCCCCTGCTGCTGTCAAACAACAGAGCTTTTGCTAGCCAACAGCTGTCTGCCTTCCAGTTCCAGGGGGCAGCTGCAGGGACACTGCATGCCCCTATGCAGTTCAGTTCATCTGTGCCACTGGAAGGGGCAGGTGGTGTGGTAGCCAGGGTCTTCCCGACTGCTTTGCGGCCCTTGCTTTAATGGACAGCTTCCACTGTACATCATACTCTGCGGGCTTTTAGCAGTGTTAAGTCCAGTAACTGCAAACGACAGCAGCAACATTTTGTTCTTAAACAACAACTGTGATAGATGAGCTAGGTTCCACATAGCGCCAGGTTACTGCTCTGGCTAATTCCATCTGCACACATGATAAAATATCTGTACCTACCCATAGCCCTATAATAAACAAATCACAAAGGAATACAATAAAGAAAAGCTAACCACAAAAACATCCTGGATAGAGAGAAAAAGGCCAGCAATGAGGCTCCCCTTGGCTGTCACAGTCACAGAGGTGACCCTAGACAGATTCCTTCCCTCCTGTGGCCCAGCATGGTGACGAGCCCAGAACACCATCCTTTCGCAGCTTCCTGCCAAGAGCCTCAAAGACTCACCTATGGTACTGAGCTGTAAAGGTCAGGTTCCCTTTGGGAAAAGCAGGCGAGTCCCACTGTAGAATGTTCTTGAAATTAACTGAATTCATTCTGATGTTTTCAGGAGGTGGCACTACCCCCAGTGCTGTAAAAAATAAAGGGAAACATTTGCAACTGCTTTTCCTCTAAAAGGTTTCCCAAGAAAGTGACCACATCCACTACCTGGGTTTCCCTCATAGCTCTGCATCACCCACATGGGTGGGCAGGGAGCACATGAACTGACCATGCTGAATTTTATTTGAAGAGCTATGAAAAGAAATTGCAGGGTAAGGGACAGATGTGAAAGCAAGAGTAAAGTGGGGTGAGTGCCGCTGATCAGGATGTGGCTGTTAGTAGAAAGTGCAATAGAGATAGTGGAACTCCGATACATTTCCAGAGATTTAAACTCTTGATTTAGTGACAGTTTTGATGTGGGGGTTTGAGGTTAACTGTGCATTTCTGGCTTAGGCACCTGGTACTCTGCTTAGAGCTGGGCAGGAAACCCCAGGCCCATTTTAGCTATTTTAGATTGGAGATGCTGGAGAAATGTCTCAGTAGGAACGCTAGGAACATACATGGATGAATGAGCCCAGAGGTCACACAGAGGGCAGAGTTGAGCTAGCAACAGAAATTATTTTTAAGCTTTTAAACAGGAGTGCAGACTGGTGGAAATTAGTGGGGACAGTTCTCACAAGACTAGGAATAGAGGTCCCATTTGACCCAGCTATTCCCCTTCTGGGTATTTTTCCAGAAGAATGAAAATATTATACCACAGTGATACATGTGCATCCATGTTTACAGCAGCACAATTTGTCATAGCTAAGTCTTGAAAATAACCCAAATACCCATCAACTGAGGAATGGATAAAAAAGATGTAGTATTTTTATACAATGGAATATTATTCAGCTATAAAGGAAGACAAATTCGAGGCTTTTATAGGCAAATGGATGCAACCAGAGACCATACTCATAAATGAAATAAAGCAGACTGACATGTGTAAACATCATATTGTTTCCCTTGGCTAAGAAAGTGAAAGAATAAATAAGGTCTAAAAGGTATAATACATAGTGTGAAAAAGAAACTGCTCAAAAGGAAAGAATAACAGGAATGGGGGAAAGAAAAAAAGGAAGGGAAATACATGCATGCACACACACACACACACACACACACACACACACACACGCTGGCTAAGATAATTGCACTACTAATTTCTATTAATTTTTTGAAAGGAATAGCTAGCACTTATGTTGTTTGATCAATTTTAACGCCTATATCTGGCCATCTGAGCATCTACTTTGAAGATAACAATATGCAATATAATAACCATTATTATTAATTCCCTATCATCTTGTTTTAAACTTCTGAATCATGAGGGCCAGCCAAATAGCTCAGCAGATTAAACCACCTGCAAGCAGGCACAGGATCCAGGGGTTTAATCTCCCCGCCTGTCCTGCCGACCAGCTTCCCGGGCATGCTAATCGCAGGTCTTGGGAAGCAGTAAACAGGAGGATTACTGCGAGTCCGATCTAGTAATGAGACCCTGAACACCCTGTAGACCCTTTCCAAAAAAAAAAAAAAAACTGAATCATTTTTATTTTTTAAATTCTCTTTTAAAAATTAAAAAAAAGAAAATTATAAACAAAAACATAAAAACGTCATCTCATAACCACCACCTGTCACTCAACTGGTACCAAGACCCGTAGGAGAAAAAGTTACAGGCCTATTTAATGCCCGGCTTCTCCCACCCCGGAAAGGATGGTGCAGAGGAAAGAGAAAGAAGGTGTGGTCATGAAGGTAGCCACAGCCAGATCTGGCAGGGGGAATCGCCAATCCAAAGAGCCCAGGAGGAGGGAGGGGGGGACCTGAGCGCCTTCTCAGAGCATCCTTCATGCTACGGGAAGAAGGGGCCACTGCGCCCTCTGAATCTGGGCAGCACCAGGCACCTTAGGAGTGCACACAAAATGTTTTATTGGATCTCGAACTTTACAATCCATAGTTTCTAATTTTTTTTTTTATTCTCTTTAAAAAATCGAGAGGCCGAATTTAGATTTCAGGGCACAGGAGACTGAAGAAGATGGTGTGGGGAAGTGGGAGACAACAACGGAGAGGAGGGAGTGGCAGGGAGGGGGCACAAGAAGGGGCGGTCCGTGTGGAGGATCTAATGTGTGTGTGTGATGAGGCCTTCTCCCATCCACCCGGCTGTCGGGGGTCTAAGGCGGTAGTGCAGGGCGCGGAAAACAACTTTCGTTAGGACCCGCCGGGAATCCCCCCACCCCTTGAGTTTGCCGGCTAGAGTGTCCGGGTGTGGCTTCTGCTCCCGGCGGGGTCAGGCAGTGCGAAATCTCTTGCTCCGTGGCCCGACAGGGCACACCATCACTTTGGGGGTGCAATCGGCGCCCCCTTCCCGGAGATCAGCGCTCAGCGCCAGCGGCAGAAGGCAGCTAGCTGCGCCGCCCAGTTCCCTACAGCGCCGGGGGATCCCCCTCGGGGACGTGCGGCGCGCACACCAGCCCTCCCGGGGTCCGCTCACCTGACGCCAGCAGGCATCCGCCCAGCCAGCTCGCGAGGTTCCGCGCCATGGCCCAGAGGGCGCCGGGGGCGCCGCGGCAAACACGCCCCGACCGCGGGCTCCAGCGCCCAGCTGCGCCCGCTTCCGGGAACGAGCGGGGCGGGCGGGGCGAGCGCAGGGCTCCTCCCCGCAGCCGGCGGAGGACCCACGCCCCGCGCAAGAGGCGCTCGTCCCGAGCTTGGCCGGGAGTGATCAGGTGAGGAAGGCGGCCTCCCGCTAAGTAAATGCATGAAGACTCCAGCTTAGGGGTCAGTCGAGGTGAGGGGATTACGGGCGGCGGTTATTCCTCTTTCTGTGTTCAGTGTTTTCTCCATGGAAGGGTCGGATCCTCTCTGCTGTCCTCTCTCCTCTAGGAGGTAAGTTGCAGCACTGAGCTGCACGCTTAGTTGGAGGGGCTCTTTAGCTTTCCCCCAGTAAAACAACACAAAACCAACTCACTGCTTGTTTCTTTCTGAGAAAAAAAAAGATTTAATCTCCTCTCTCTATACTGGCACAACGACAAGGTTGGAAATTCTACGTGTGTGTGTGTGTATGCCCCTCCTCACGTTCATGCTGGAACTGGCCCGAAAGGGAGCCGTGCCTGCAGCCCACTGGACAGTTAGGGGGAGCAGGTGCAATCCTGAGGTGCCAGCAGAGCCACAGACGTCACACATATACATGTAATGTAAAAAGAATCGGAAGACCACACCAAGTTTGTATGAAAAAGTTTTGCTGTATTACCAATATACAAACGCCAGCCATTGTACAAAAAAAATATTTTTTTAAAAAAAACAAGCGTACACATGCACACACAGCCACAGAGAATTTATCTCAAAAGATTATTCTGGAGATTTTCAGAACACGACAGATGCAGAGGAATTACACCAGTCACCTATTCAAGGTCCTTACAGTGAGGCTGGTATAAGCGTTGTTTCTCCCTTTCTGAATTTCCTCTCCTAGTCCCTTACTGTGTGTGTGCTGTGGGAGGAGAGAGGGAAGGGGCTCTGAGAAATCAGCTCCTCCGGTGACAGAGAGTAGGCTCCTACACCTTTCATTCACTGCCAGCCTAGTTGCGTGGCAACACTTCTAAGTATTCCTGTATTTTTTTCTCCTACTTTTCCAAGACTCATAAAATCTTGCTAATTGCCTGGCGCACTCCTCTTATGTAATGAAGAAGACGAGTCTCAGAGAGGCTCAGAAGACACCCAGCTTCACACAGTAAAATGTTAGTAGTCCACAGACTGGTACACGACCCTACAGCCTTGCTTCTTGCTTCTTCCTCGACTCACTGCAACTATATTTCCATATAGGGCATGTGGAACCAACACATGTAACACTTTTAAAATTGGCAAGTAGGATCTTTTAAGACTTACATGGCCCTGAGATTTTTATCCCTATCGCTTGACTCAGGGAATTAATGTATGTGTTTTTCTTAAACTGGGGATGGCTGGATACCTGGCTGTGTATGAAGTACTGAGGGGAGGAGTCAATATAACATCTGAGAGGGGTACTTTGCTGTGCTGCCCTTGTTTTTTATGTGTCTGCCTTCTCCCTAGCCTACTTCATGGCACATTCTGCAGCCTCCTGGGCAATGGGCATTCATCTGCTGGACACTGCTGGAAGCTCCTGAGTGCTTTCCTCTTTCCCTCCTTCCTTTCTGGCTCAATGTAATTATTTCTTAAAGCACCTTTGCAAGCCCAGCAAGGCCTTTACCCTGGGAAACCAAATGTACAAACATCAGACATGTATTAGCATTAAGGGAGTGGAAGGGACAGGCTCCTTCAAAGTGTGTCACTCTGAACTTGCAGACAGTGGAGCAATGCTATGTTCCCCACAGAGGGCATTTGCATAGATGGAGTCACCTGAAGAACTAGGGATTCTATATAGTTTCTGACCACAAGCCTGCAGATTAGGGCTCAAGGTAAGAATCCTGTAGGTATCTCTCAGGTAAGGTTAACGAAGTAATTTGGAGTCATCTCATGATATAACCATCCCTGATATCATCGTCCACATCAGAACTATTGGTGTCACTTTTATCAGAGAGTTCATCTCCTGTCCACAGGCACTCAGGAGGGAGGCTAGGGAAGAGCACTTGGAGCTTTTCCCCACCGGCCACCAGAAGGCTTGACTCTGTCTCTTGGGGACCATGTTCTAGGTTGGCAGTCTCTCTGGGAGGAGGTAATACCAGCGTGGCTTCTTCAGAGTCTTGCGGGTCATCATGGAGAACTCTCAAAAATACAGAATTTAAATTCACATTGAAGGTAATTTTGTCCCCAGAGCCCCCAGTAAAGTTGCTATTGTTGTCCCTGGGATGGGGGTCTTGGAGTGGACCTGTGGTCCTCTTGCGGGGCTCACTTATAAATTCCTTCTGCCCTGGGCTGGGCTGTAGTGCTGCAGGAGGCTGGGGCTGGGGCTGGGGCTGGGGCTGGGGCTGGGGCTGGGGCTGAAGCTGGGGTTGGGGCTGTGTCTCCTCTTCAGGGTCCTCAGACAGCTCATCTGCTGGGTCTTCCAGATGGGAGGCCTGGGAAGTGGCTGAAGAGGTGGGGATCTGTCTGAGAAGCCGGGCAGTCAGGCCATGCGTAGTGTAACCCCCCGCACTTGCTTTGAGGGGCGCCTCATTTTCATTTTCCTCGTCGTCACTTTCAGCATAATTATAATTCCACACTTTCTTCTTTCTGTTGATGGAAATGACCTCCACTATATTCACTTCTTCCAACAGTGGTATTTCGGGAAATCTCTGGGTTATAAAGTTTTGAAAAATCTGAGAGTGGGAGAAGAAAGACATTGTCTCATTTTTGTTTGTTCTTTATTTTTTACAAAATAAAACTTAGTATTTATTGTACAATGATGTGCATGGCTATTATAATAGCACACACAGTTATACAAAAGCTGGAAGTGATATAGTGCTGATTAGCTGCCAGGCATTGCTCTTAGCCCCTCACCTGGACAGCTGGCCTCCGAGTCCCCAGATGCTGGAGTCCTTTATAGATAACACAACAAGACTGGCAGAGCATCTACACACATTCTCCCCTGTATAATCCACGCTGTCTAATGTATGTGACAACTTCTCTCTCCTTACTCCAGCAAAACCTAGTCCTGGGGTCACTTTTTCCACTGAGTTATTCATTTTCTTACTAAGTCACAGAAGTTCTTTATGTAACTCTATAACTTATTCACTAATTATTTGTGAAATATATTTACACACACACACACACACACACACACACATTTCTCCCAGTCTGTGGTTTCTCACGTTATTCTCTATGATGACATTTGATGGAAAGAAATTCCAGATTTTTAATGTTAGAGGAGTTGCCAATACCTTGACGGCTTTTGTGTCTGAGAGAGCTTTCCTTTCTCACAAGCCATACCAAATAAGTTATACAGATGCTCCTTAACTTATGGTGGAACTATGTCCCAATAAATATATAGCAAATTGAAAATACTGCATATGAAAATGTCACTGAGTATCTTAGTACATTATAGCTCAAGCTTAACTACCTTAAATATGCTCAGGACACTTACATCATCCTATATTTGGGCAAAGTCATTTAACACACGGTCCATGTTATAATAATGCATTGATTTTTTTTTTTTTTAATACTAGGTCTTGCAATACAGTTCAGGCTGGCCTTGAGCTCACTTTGTAGTGTAAGCTGGTCTTAGATTTGCAAAAATCCTTGTGCCTCAGTCTCCCGAGTACTGGAATTACTGGTATGTGCCACTGTACCAGGCTAATAATGCACTGAATATCTCACATAATTCAAAATTTAAAGTGTGATTTCCATTAAATGCATGATGTTTTCACACCACTGTAGAGTTAAACAAAAGTTCTAAGTGAGACCATTGTTGAGGACTATCTGTATTGCCTTCTAAAATTTTAAAGTTCTGTCTTTCACATTATAATCTTTAATTTACCTGAAACTGGCTTTCACGCATGGTTTGAGGTAGGGATCCAATGCCACTTCCCCTGGTGTATACGTCATTTACTACTAGCTCATCTTTTCCCCACCAATTTGTAAGACTCACTGTCATAAACCATGTTTTCTTTTTTTTTATTTTTATTTTTTATATTAATTTTATTGAGAAAAAAGTAGCAATGAGATAGTTTCAAAACAGGTTAGTAGGATAGTTACAATAATTAATATGTTACATATTAATTTTATTGAGAAAAAAGTAGCAATGAGACAGTTTCAAAACAGATTAGTAGGATAGTTACAATAATACATTGCATATTGTTGTCTTCATAGTAGTTATTCATAGTATAAGATGCATACATGAAATCTTGTCTAGTTTCCACATTATTTACTTTTGAATGAGGGACATTACATGGTAGCGCTAAAGAACTGAATTTCAAATCTATTGGGATTTCCTTCTCACTATTTGAAAGCTTTTTGTTTTCTTTTGGTTTTATGATTTAATTGAGCCTGAAAGAAATATGAATGTTGTCATCATGAAAATGGGGCCACTGATTGAAAAAAGCCAGGAGGATCTGAAGAAAGGTCCTCATGCATGGTTATCCGACTGTTATGATCACAGAAGACTCCGCCGCTCTCAGTGTTTCTGCCGCCCACATGCCTAGCTCTTCAACCCTGGACTGACACGACTCTTGTTATTAAATCTCTAGGGCCAAGAATCACTTTTGCAAACTACTACTGCATTCCTCCTCATTTTGATCTTTAGGAACTTCTGCTTACCTCCACTTTTTACAAAAACTATATCCCTAGTTTGCAATGGCACCCTTGTTTCCACTGCAAAGCCCTACTCTCCCATCACAATGCTCTTCACAAATGGCAGTGTTCCTTGGACACTCCTGCTCTGACATAAACCATGTTTTCATACATGTGGTTCTGTATCTAGGTTTTTGTTAATGCTTTTCAAAAAGATTTGATAATTTTCCTCACACTGAGCTTGTACAAAAATTGCTAGCATTTTTAATATGCTTTAAAATATTTGTGTTACTATAATTGTCTTTTTAAAAATACTATTGTAAATAGTATTCAGTTTACATAAGATTCAAAAGCAGGCGAAACTAATCTCCGCTGTTAATAATCAGGACAGTGGTTACCCTTGGAGACCATTCATACTTGAAAGGTGGCAGAAGACAATTTTGGAGGAGCTAGCCATGCTCTATTTATCAAAACAATGCTCTATTCATTAGACATGCTCTGCTCTCCAGGACAAGGTTATGGAGGCTGAGCTTTCCACCTGGTGTTTGCATGCTTTATTCTGGGAAGTTGAAAAGCAGTTTCTTGTTCACTTTCTAATTGAATGCTGCTGATCCTTTATGGCATGACCCTGTTAATCTATTAATCCCAATAATTTATCTCTAGAGTCATGTCAGTTCTTTATTTAAACAACTCTGTTATCACTAAAAAAATCACTGTCTTTGCCTCCTCTCAAACTTTAGGCTTCATGAGGGCAGGAGTTTTTTTTGTTTGTTTGTTTGTTTTTTGTTGTTGTTTGTTTTATTTACTTCTATATTTCTAACACCTAGATCATGTTGACACATACTAAGTACTCAATGACTATCTGTTAAATTAAAAACAGAAAATACAGCATTAAAAATTTTTAACACCTATTCTTGACTAGAAACACATACACAAACACACACTAGGCCTAGATTGTCCTATTTTCCTCTTCCTAGAGTTTTGAACTGCAGGGAAACAGTTTTTAATGGAGAAATACTAAAAAAAACCCACAAAATCACAATGTGGTATGATAAGCACATCTGTGAAGGGATATTTAAATATAGGGTTGTTGGAAAATAACAATAAAAATATTTCTAAATAAACTATTAAAGTAATGCAAGAGAAACACAGTGGGGTAGGGAAAATGATAATTGATGGCAAAAGCAGTTGAGTCAGAAGACAAGAGTTTTAGAAAGATGCAAGACCACTATGTCAACTCTTATAAAGGCTCGAGCCAGCAACACTTAGAAAAAAGGAAAACAAGAAAATGACTGTTATTGTTAATAATGAAAATAACACCAATGAGAGCAGCTGCGGAGAACCGTTACACATGTGGCACAGAACAAAAGGAGTAAGAAGGATTCACCATTGTGAGTGAGGCCTTGGAGAGTTATGAGATCACCGCTGGCATTACACATCACTTATAAAGGTCTTTGGTAAGGTAAGTCATGTTACATGTATGTTACAGTGATGTCATCCAAAATAAAAAGAAAATGTATGTAAACAATTCCACTGTACTACTCATCATGGCAAAGGAAAGAAAGAAAGAAAAAAAGGAAGGAGATGAAAAAGAAATTAATCCAAACATAGCTGGAGAATAGTTAGATCATACATTAATAACAATGAAATTCTATAGAGCCATTAGGAATAATGTCTGAACAAAGAATAAAGAGCAAACATAAAACACACAGATATATTTATAACTGAATATATGTTTTCAGGAATGGGAAGGAAGCCAGCCTGAAAAAACTCTAGTGCTTTCAGAACATCAAATTTTCTTCTGCAAAAACATTTAAATATATAATAAAAATTTTAAACTTAAAAAAAAATAGAGAAAGTTTTAAAAGACTACATACCAAGACTTTGGGAAAATTAGTGCGTAAACACACACATCCAATCTGTCTCAGTGTTAAGATGACGCTTATTATGGTCACTGATATAAAAAAAATAGTAAGTACTGCTATTTTTACAGATTCTGATGTCCCTGTTGATGAGAAAATAAATAAATTTATTTCAAAAGGAATCCAATAAGGGACCACACGTAGGAATAAATGCACACTGCTCTGGTGTTACAAGGTGATATTTAGAAAAAAAGTATGGGGAGAAGAAAGGTTTTAGACATTCATGTGTTCCTGAGGCCATGGTCACTCACATTTGGCTCAGAGTAAGTGGTTTTCTTATTTCTTTAGAGCAGAGTTATTATGTCAGTGACTGTGGTGCTCAACATGGGGCCCCAAAGTTGCACCACTGTCACAGGGGGAGTCGCCCCAATAGGCATCAGGTACCAGCACCTGCCCTGAGTATCCACTGACCAGATTACCTCCTCTGGACACTGGGGAGCCCTTCCTGGGCCCAGAGCCTCTGTGCAATTGGCTTATTTTGACCTAGTTGATTTGGACAGCCTCTGTTGTTGCACAGCCTTTGTCAGAACATTTGTGTCCTGACATTTAGTCTTTCCTTCTTCCTCCATGATCTAAATTTTCCTCTTTGTTTCTTTCTCTTGTTCATTGTGATTTCTTTCTTTCTTTCTTTCTTTCTTTCTTTCTTTCTTTCTTTCTTTCTTTCTTTCTTTCTTTCTTTCTTTCTTCCTTCCTTCCTTCCTTCCTTCCTTCCTTTCTCTCTCTCTCTCTCTCTTTCTTTCTTTTCCTTCCTTCCTTCCTTTTCCTTCCTTCCTTTTCTTCTTTTAGTATTTCCCTTTTAATATAGAAGCTCTGTGAGCACCTACTCAAAAGACCCCAAAGTTAAGAGGTACTCTTCTCCTGTACCCAACAGAGTCATGGGGTCGGGCAGAACTCTCTGGGATGTGTCATGGAAGTGCCCAAGTAATACACTTCCTCACTCCTGGGCCAGAAAGACCTTTATTGTCTCATCTGGGAAGACACACATAAGGAGCCATTACTAAGGGTCCTGAACTTCTCAGGTATATTCTACAAATGTGCAGCATGGCTGGGATGGTGAGGGATCTGGCACTGCAGTCAGAAGTCTTGGAAACCACCACACAAGTCCTGTCCTATAGCACAGGAAGTTGCCATTTTTGGACAGGAGGTACCTCCACTAAAATAATAATAATAATAAAAAAATAACTAAACCAAACCAAACCAAATACAGTTTTACATTACTAAAGACTAAACAGAAAAATACAGTGGTACTTGCATTCATGAACGTAAGGCTTTCCACAGATCTGGTCGCAAACCGAATTGGATGAGAGCCTAATTAGGTTCAGTGTTGACCTTGTGGGGAAATTTTATTTCATTCTCGTCCAATTTGGTTTGCAACCAAACATAATAGAATGAAGTCCATGAACGGAAGTATCCCCGTATATATAGCTTTGCAAAGTAAAAGTTTTCAGTTTATACTACGTGATACAATACAGTAATCACTAGCTATGGTTGTTTAAATTTAAATGATCAAAGTGAAACAATTAGAAGTTAGTTTCTCCATCCCAGTAGCCATATCTCAAACGTGTAGGTGAGGCTCACATTAGTATGTGCTGCAGGAAGGAAGGGTGGAGAAAAGAGCCTTCCTGAAAAGCCAAAAACATTCAAAGATTGGCCTTATCTACACCAGGAGCCAAAGTCTGGGCTCATCTTTTTACGTCCTGCAACTCTAGGGTCCTCCATCTCTCCCTGGCCTACAATGTCACTCTTCTTTGGCTCAGTTCACAGCTACCTTAGCGTTCAGGCCCACTCCTGCACTCGCTGGATCGTACCTCTAAAGCTCTCCCCTGATATGTTAGCAAGACTCAGTCTGTCCCTTCTGTATTCCCTTTCCACTGCCTTGGTATTCAGTGGTACAAAATGACACAAATCTAGTCTTTTTGAATTCTGCAGGTCAGAAACCCAAAATGGTTTTCTGTAAGACAAAAATCAAGGTGTTGGCAAGTTGCATTCCTTCTGGAAGCTGCAGGGGAACATTCACTTCCTCACCTTTCCTGCCTTTAGAGGCATCTTTCATTCCTGGGTTCATGGTTTTTCTTTCATCCTCAAACCCAGCTTTATAGCCTCTCCTGGTCCCTGTTCTCTGCTTCTGCTGTCACTGTTCTTTCTCTGACCCTTGAGTCCTCGGTCTTCCTCTCTCCTTTTTAAGAACCACAAGTTTACCTGGGGTCCTCCTGGGTGACTCAGGATCATTTTCCCCATTTCAAGATCTTTATTTGAATCCAACCACCAAGTCCCTTAGCCATATTCACATGTGCAAGATGGGTGACCATTACTCTACCTACCACACCATCCCTGGGTCTTCATTTGAATGCCACCTCTCTGGAAACCATTCTGTGGCCATCAGGGACCTTGCCCATGTCCCCTTGACCAGCCAGTGAGTGACTCCCATGCTACTGTGTACATCTGAGCTGCTCTTTCTCCAAGGTACTGGCCTTGGCCAGAGAGGGGCTATGCCTAAAAAGTACTGCAAATGGACTGACTGACTGAGGATATGATTCATGCTCCAGAGAATCTGTAGGGCTCAGGCTCTGCTGAGACCAGTGAGCGTCATCTCTCTCTTCCTGCCCCTCTTGTTCCTTTATTCTCCATTCAATTTGATATATCCCACCACAAAGAACAAAAATTCCCATCCTAGGCTATGCTTTCATGGAATGTGAACAAAGATAGGGCCCTATTTAAATCAGGGAACCCATCCCCACTAGATAACTGTCCTTCACTTCTCTTCCTGCTTAATTTTTCTCCTTAGTGTTTATGGTCCCTTCATATATTATATATTATAATTTTGAAATCTTATTATTTTAGCTCCAACTGCAATGTATTCCTGAAAATCAGGGATTTTTAATCTATTTTCTTCACTGCTATCTTCTCAGTATCCAGAGAGGATTCTGGCTTGCAGAACAACTTTGTCAGATGAATGAATAGACCTTTTCCCTGGGGCCTTTCTAAAGAGACCACCAATTGGTTTTAGGGCTTCAGGATGAAGGCATTTTGCCAGATCTGTACAGTTGCTCCACCTCTTATCAGTTTGCCCTAAGTTTGCAGTGTTCACTGCTGAGTCTAAGTTAATGGTGGCTTCTGCTGGTGGCCCTGATGTTCACTTGGTGTTACAGTCTGGATCTTGAGTTGGACTCCTTAGGAGTAATTTAGGAGGTAAGGAGGCAGCGAGAGATCCATCTCATCTCAATGACTGTCTCATCTACACTGCTGAAGTTCCCTTTCTTCTCCAAGCCACGGCCCCGCCCCATGCCTGCCAGCCAGGCTGGATCTAAGAGCGACACCCAGCCTCAGATGCAAAATCCTTCGCCTTCATCACCCCTGCATGCAGCTGCATCTAACAAGTGTGCATCTTCCAGCGATGACTGGCTTGAAGCATGGCCGACCTAAAGGCACAGGCCTCTGCGCTTAATCCTGATTCCTTAAAAGTCTCCATTTCAAAAAGGCATCTAAATATTCTTCAAATATATTTAAGATTGCATGCTAAAAGTTTTATAATTTGTAATTAATAAATTTCAAATATTCTAATAAAAAACTCAAAAAACAAAAAAGGCATCTTGGTCTTATAAAGGTAGGCAATCGGATCATCCTTACGGGAGTGCACCATAGCTGTGGGCACCAACTGATGACCAATGGAACACACCTCTGGGGTGTGTCTTGATGAGAAGACACACCTTTAGGTACCAGGAACTCCCACTATTTTCTTTCAACAGTTTTTTTTTTTCTAATAGTAAAATTATCCTTTTTTCAACAGGTGAAATTTTTTTTTTTTTTTTCAGTACCGGGGACTGAACTCAGGACCCTGTGCTTGCCAGGCAAGCTCTTATTCTACTGAGCTATCTCCCTGGGCCCCAACAGGTGAACTTTAAAAAAAATTAACTTACCTGATTCTTGGCCAGGATAAAGGAGGATACATTTTAAAGGAGGTTTTATTACTGTGGTTGAACTTCTTGACTCAAAATAAGCAGATACACAGTAGTTTGTGTTTGGCATTAAATCATTAAGGACATAACTGAAATTTCCACTGAAGTTTCCATTTATTTTGGGTTCATGCTGAAAAAAGAAAAAAAAAAAAGTAAGACTATAGTAAGAATTTCATTTAGAAGCAGGCCATAAGAAACTCTCTGGGACTCTGTCTTCAAATCCTAAACAAGGTTAAAAATGGCATGGGCATGACAAGAAAAGGGGTTTATAAATTGCTTGGGGCAGCCAGTTGATCACAAAACTACATGTATTTATACACACATATATATATATACTTTTATAAAATTTTATGTATTTGGTACAGGGTCTCACTATGCAGCTCGGACTTGCAGTGATCTTCCTGTTTCAGCCTCCCCTGTGCTGGGATCACAGGCGTGCGCTACCATGCCTGGTCTAGGTGGTGGGTTCAACGTGCCCAGGGGCTGGGCCAGCTTGGCATGGCATGTGGTGTTGGGAATCAGGATCAGGGGATCAAACCCGGGACCTTGCGCTTCCCTATGCAGGCGCTTAGGCCACTGAGCTATCTCTGTGGCCATATACTTATCTTAGAACCATGAAATGTAGTTTAGCAAATTCATTTTATATATGAAGAAGAAAAGCCCCAAGAGAAACAATGCTGCCTATGCTATCTTTTTTTTTTTTGCGGAACTGGGGATTGAACTCAGGCCCTTGTACTTGCCAGGGAAGTGCTTATTCCACTGAGCCATCTCCCCGGCCCCTATGATATCATTTTTACAAAATCATCTTAACTCATGACAACATGGATCTAGTTTACACCTTGGAAAGGGCTTTCTTGCATACTGACTCCTTTAACTTTCAAAACTATTGTTTCAGTTTAGATCTATAATGTCTCCAAAAGTCTTATATGTTCTAGGTTGATGGGCGCTTGGGAAGGGAGTGAGTTATGCTGGCTCTAACTTCATTAACTAGATTAGCCTACAGATGAGTTTGCTAGCTGAATGGGTTTATTAGGAGGTAGTATCTAATGGAATGGAGCAGGTTGAAGGGCCTATTTTGTCTCTAGAACCTTTCCCTTGGATTCTTTCTCACTCTGCTTCCTGGCTACCATGAGGTGGATATCTTTCCTTGCTTATGTCCTTCTGCCATGGTATTCCTGCCTCACCACAGACCTAAAGCAGTGGAGCCAGTTTACGATGAACTGACACCATCAGTCCAAATCAGCCTCTCCTCCTTTAAGGTGTTTGCTCAGGTATTCTGTCACAGCAAAACAAAGCTCATGAACACAACCCTCTAGGCATTATCTCCATTCTACAGATGAAGAAACTGTAGGTCTAAGTGGCCAAAGAACTTGTCCAAGATCACAGAGCTTGTAGGCAGTAGGCAGAGCCTGATGTCTAAGACATATTGTCTCCCGCTTGCTCTGTAATTCTGTTACATTTCAGGAAACACAAAGATAAACCTAGGTGCAGGGGCAGAGGCCTACAGCTTCAACACTTAGGGTGCTGAGTACGAGACTGCAAAATCAGGTTCTATCTGGGCAACTTAGTAAGACTTTGTCTCAGATTAAAAAATAAAAAGGCTGGGGATGTAGCTCAGTGGTAGAATACCACTTCATTAAATCCCCAGTATTAAAACAAAGTTTGATGAATAGCAACTTAAAAAAACTTGTTTTATGGTTTCCAAAACATATTTTACTAGCAATTTTATAGATTAAGATTTCTAGCAGTTCAAATATGGCCTTTGGTAATCCTGTATTTCTACAAGTTTCTGTCTGGAAGCAGGGCAAGTTATTAAACAGACCCACAAGCCAACAAATGAAAAGGTCATGCATGGAAATGAACAATGAAAGGACAAGGGGACAGGATGGGACCCTGAGTGGTGGGAAGGCTCTCACTTTGGTAAGAAGAACAGTGTGGCTGTGGGTGGAACAGATGGACTCTACAGGATGTTTAGTGAGTCTATAAAACTGACTTCCTGTTTTACAGGGCAGGCGGAAGGAAGCTCCCACCCCGCAGTTCCCTCATTAGAGTTAACTTGCTGAAGCTTAATCAGTCGTGCGAGATATAAGGGGGTGAGACTTGATTGACTGTGGACTTCAGAGGTAGGGTCCTGAGCAGTGATTAGGGTTAGATGAAGTTGTCAGGGTAAAGCCCCCTGATTGAACCCTGGTGTCTTTAGAAGAACAGGTTGAAAGAGAACAGAATGTGCTACTCTGTGTTACATTGAGACAGCAAGGAGGCTATGGTCAGATACAAGCATTGGATGTTGGACCTACAGAATCATGAACCAAATTAAAACTCTTCTTTAGGAAGTACACAGTCTCCAGTACTTTGTTATAGCAACAGGAAATAGACTAAAACATGCTTTCCCCACAACCCACCAGGATTGAGACCAGGGCCTTTGCACTGAGCTATATTCCTTGCCCTCTACTTTTTGAGACAAGGTCTCATAAAGTCACTAAGTTGCACTCTCACGATCCCATCCACTTTCAGCCACTCTAGGACACAGCTTCAGGAATCCTCCCTGGAACATTCCCTCTGCAGGAAATATGCTGTAATTTCTCCCATTAAAAAGTCCCTCTGTGGTCCCATCTTCCCCTCCAGCTACCACTGTACATTCCTTCTTCGCTTAACTGAAGTTTCTTAGAAAAGCTAAGTGTTCTAATTGTTCTCTTCCTCTCTTGAATCTACTCCAGCAAGACCTTTGGCACATGACTCACCAGAGCAACTTGTCTCAGGGGCCTGGTCTCAGGGCATTCAACACACACATGAAGCCAATGGCCTTGTCCGCAGCACATCTCTTTGCTAGGAGATCTCCCTTCATTCAAGACTTGCTGTAGCAACGTCTATCTACACTCTCCTCCTAGATACCCTACAGGCACTTCAGATTTAACATGATTTGCTGTCCAACCCCCAGGCAGTCATACTCTTCTCCATTTTAATTAATGGAAACTCTGAAGTATTGAAGTTCTTTCTCTATCACACTTTGCATCCAATTTACCTGAAGATATTGTTTCCACCTATTATTTTTGCACGATAAGTGCAGAATTTAGTTGCTTTTCATTACCCTACCACCAGCAAAGGGTCCAAGCTACCACCATCTGTTGGCTGGAATATACCAATAGCTTGTTGTAGTTTCTTGATTTAATAGAAAAACTACCATGGAGAGAGGAAATCAGAAGAGGACAATTTAAACCTAAAGATGTCTATTAACTGTAGTTTTTCTTTAACAGTTATTAATATGCTAATAATCATGTCATATTTTTGAAATAATAATCTAAAACACTGTAGCTAATGCTTTGAATAAGAGACATAGTTGAAATATGATAGTGAATGACACCTGTCACAGTCCCTGGGCTCCATTAACTTGTTTCTCCCCTGTTATTTTTGCTCCTTCTTCCTAGTGACAACCTGTCAAGTTGTCACCATCCTAAGAGGATCTTCACTGGTATTCTGAGTTCCAGTTTTTCCCATTATGGTCTCTTATCACTCCAGCCAGGCTGAAATATTGATCTGCATCAATATAGATTTTTTTTTGTTGGTTTGTTTTTGTGGTACTAGGGACCAAACGCAGAGCCTTGTGCATGCAAGGCAAGAGCTCCACCACTGAGCCACACCGCTAGCCCCTAAGGCTAGCCCCTTGGGTCCCCCAGTGGCTTCTACCTTACAAGACTCACAAGCTCCAGCTGCTTTCCCCTCTGATCTCTCTTCCTCCTGTTCTCCCCACTTGGTCACTCCACTCCAGACCTCTCTGCTGTTTGTCAAACCCACCAGCTCCTATCTAACCCTGCCTGGAATGGCCCTGCTCTGATGTCTTGCAGGCTGGTTTTACTTGATATATTCTTCTACATATTTCTGCTTGGTTTTTCTTGTTTTACTGATATCTTGCAGGCTGTACAATTGGCAAAGGCCTTGACAAGCCAAATGCTACTATGGCAATGCCCACGGGTGTCTGCATTTGCTCAATTTTCACACATCCCAGCATTCTGAGTGACAAAACCGATAAAGACCTACACATGCCTGCTACCAGGGTCGCCCTGAGGTTACAGGCACTGGATTGGAAAGAGGAAATCAGAAGAGGACAGAGCTACAGGAAAACACTGCTTTTTTTTTTTTTTTTTTTTCTGTGTCAGAGGAAACAACACATGTTTTTATGTGTGGCTCAGCTAAGCCACCCTTTCGAAGAAATCTTGCCTTAGTATGCTGGGCTCTGGCTGCTCGCCCTGTGTGTATCACTGTCCTGGCTACATCACACGACTCTCTTCTCTGTACCCAGTGAGGCTGTGCAGGTGGCTTATTCTCTTAAAGATGGAGCTGCTGGGGCAGTCAACATATTTCTGCAGAGAATGAACCACAGCAACTGCATTCCTAAAGTCACACCACTGCTGGTAGATCATTTCATGTGAATTGCTCAGCCACATGTTTCCTCTTTTCTTTCTTAAAGAGAGTAAAGTACATCCATGGCCAACTCAGAACGTTCTGATTGCAGCCATAGAGACCACTCACCCTCTGATCAATGTTCTCCGAGTGTTCATCAATGACCAGTGATGCATGTTCGTGTAGTTCTTCCCCGCAGAACTTGGGGGTCACAGATGGAAAGTACACAGTCACGTTGATGTGGTCTGCAAAGCCAATAATCTCAAAGTCTGGGGGCTCAAGAGCCACTGTTCGGGAAACAAAGTCAGAAACAAACCCCATTATCCGTCAGTGGCTACGGAATGACAGTGCTCCCCATTGTCAGGATCCAATCTTATTTATTTTATTTTATTTTGTTTTTGCTGTACTGGGGATCAAACTCAGGACCTTGTGCCTGCCAGGCAGGTGCTTATGCCACTGAGCCATCTTCCTGGCTCTTATTTATTTTAAAGAAAAACACTTTTCTTTTTTGTCCTGCCTATGTTCCAGGTATAGTCTATAATTTTTATTCTATTTGTGAAGAATTGAGATTAAAAAACAAGTGCATCATTTGCTTAACGTTACTACAGCAACAGAAGCCAGCTACTTTTTCAATGTTCAGGTTCTAGTCTATGGCTTTGAAATTAGAAATTACTTGTTTCCAGGGGCTGGGGAGATGCCTCAGTGGAATAAGTGCTTCCCTGGCAAGTGCAGGGGCCTGAGCTCCATCCCTAGCTCTGCCAAAAAAAAAAAAATTACTTGTTTTCATAATGAGATAATAGAGAAATAACAGGAAATCATTGTCAAAATACAAACAACAATTGTCTTTGCAATTAATCATTTTTTATCTGTGCTACATGGGCCTAAATATGTAATATTTATACAGTTACTAAATTAGGGTATATATTTGTAAATACATGTACATGTACCATGTACACACACACACACACACGCACACACCCATATATATAAACTAAAATGAAATCGTAGATCACATGGTTTTGAATGGTATATAATTTCATTCAACTATATTTCACAAGCATATTAATACATATTTACCTATATGAAGGGCTAGCTGAGTATGGGCCATGAGTTGGCCTTCTGTACAGTCTATAAGCTTAGAATGGTTTGCTATTTTTTTAAAGGATTACAAACAAACAAAGAACCAGAAAGATTATGGGACAGAGATCATATGTCGCACACAGTCTAGAGCATTTCTTCTCTGGCCCTTTACAGAAACTCTAGAATCCCTGACTCATACCCTAATTTTTCATGGTTGCTTCATTTTTACTAAGTAGCTGAACCATGACTTAACTGATTCACTATTTTTAACATTTTGATCGTCTCTTAATTTTTCTGAATGGAATTTATGTATTATCAAATATTCATGGTCCTAAATCTTGGCATTTGTCTTTAATAATTTCCTGGGCCTGCCAAATAGCTCAGTGGATTAAAGTGCCTGAAAGCAGGCACAGGGGCTGGAGGTTTGATCCCTGGGCTTGCCGTGCTGGCCCCAGCTCTGCCCCTGGGGCATGCTGAGATCACTATGAGTCCGATCTAGTAGTGGCACCCTGAACACCCTGTAGATCCTTCCCTAAAAAAAAAAAAAAAAAAAAAAAATTCCTTAGGACAAGTTACTAAAAAGATATTCTGCATTGGAGTCAGCCTGTGTTAAGGTTTTTAATACACACTGACTAACTCTTTCAGAAGAACTACACTGAACTATACATTCTTTCCCATCATGAGTCCGTATTTTTCAGGTTTATCATTTGAATCATGAAAAAGAACTCATGTAATCCTTCAGCACCCTAAGACTATGAGCCATAAGCTTGTTTTCCTTTTCATCTGTGTACAAACACATAGACGGGACTCTTGATCCTAAACACACATACACTACTGTAGCTATCTCATAGGTATCTAAATTATCCCACAGCAGATTCAAGCATCATCACTCTGAAAAAGCACGGGTAGCAAGCACCTACTCGTGCACTGAAGCAGAGCTGGAGTTTTCCGCTTTTTTTTTTTTTTTTTTTTTGTGGAACCAGAGATTGAACTCACGCCCCTGTGCTTGCCAGGGAAGTGCTTATTCCACTGAGCCATCTCCCTGTCCCCCCCACCTCCTGCTTATTTTTGAAACAGGCTATAAAATGGAAACTGAAAAAGCAATGGAGCTGGAACTGTCAAAGCAAATGCCTCTGGGAGTGGCTCCAGGCACAGGAAAAGTGAACAAAGGAGCAGACTGAGACTCAGGCTACAGCCTTGGCCTGTGAACTGTGTGCCTCTGTGTATGTGACCTAGATGTTCCCAAGTCACCAGCAGAAGTTACAGGGTTAGAACCTGGGCTGGGGTCACAGAAGAATGGCAAGCACTGGCCCCAAGTGATGTGACAGCTTAGATCCAGGCCACTTGCTAGTTATATAGTGATGAGAACAGCAAGTACTATTGCCTGAAAGCCTGCTCTGTGCAGTACGGAGTGACAATTTGCACTGATTGACTGATTGACTAATTGACTGACTGATTCATACATTCGTGGCAGGGTTTTGCTACATATTCCAGCCTGGCCCTGAACTCGCTATGTAGCCAGGCTGAATCCAAAGTCATAGCTGTCCTCCTGCTTCAGCCTCTCCATGCTGGAATTATAGGTGTATGCCACCATATCCAGCATGGCTTTGCAGTAATAATCTGTAAAGAACACATTTTGGTTACATTATTCTGATTGGAAAGCTGAGGCTTAGATCAGCAAAGTAACTAGTCCCAGTTAGAGTTAGGAGGTGGCAGGGCAAGCTGTGGGCCTATAAGTCTAAATCTAAAATGGCTCTGCAGACCTTCCTATTCATGGCAGAGCAAATAATGATCTCTTTTTGTGGGGACAGGCTGATCTGGAGACAGCCCACACATTTGGGGTAAGAGCAAGGCCAGCCCCCAGAACGTGAAATGCCAGAGGCAGAGCGTGTAAACAATTGACCCCAGCTCAGTGACATACCACAGGTGGCGCGGATGTGGGGTCCTCCGTTAGCTACAGCACGGAGAGCTCCGAGAGGGTTTCGCTTTCCATGTTCTCAGCAAGACACTGAGGCGTTATACTGGAGCTCTGTCCCGCACTTGCTCTCCTTTCTACTGTGTATAAAGAGGCAGGCCATGCTGTGTTGTCGCTGCCTCTCCAGCAGCGAGGTCAGGTCCCACCCGGCCCCAGCTCTCCTTTCACCATGTGTCTTGTCTTAATCTCCTATCACCCCCTCTCAGAACCTTGCTGGCCATGTGGGATGCAACACGTTTTTAGTCATCTGTCTCAATATTTTATTTATTTTTATGAATACACAATGATTACTGAACACAATGATTACAATTATTATAATGATTAGGGAGTTGGAATATATACAAAATACATCCTAATTCTTTTTTTTTTTTTAATTTCCTATCCTTTTCCTCCTTTTCTGCTCCAACTCTTGATCTTCCCATTGCAAAAACTTTATTTTCATCATTTTTCCCTTCCGTCTCTTTTCCTTCCCATTATCCCCCTCCTTCTCTTATTCCCCCCATCCATTTGGAAAAGAACCCCTTCCTGCCTATTTACCTATTTTTTATTTTACCTTCTCTCTCTTTTTCTTTCTCCCTCTCTGTAAATATGTATATATATATTTAAATGCATATATGTTTATACATATATATTTTTTAAAAAATTATTTATTTATTTGGTACAGGGTCTTGCTACATAGTTCAGACTCGTGGTGATCCTCCTGTCACAGCCTTCCCAGTGCTAGGATTACAGGTGTGCACCACCATGCCTGGTTTCAGTGGTGACACAGTGCGCCAGGGGTTATGGGGCTGGCTCAGCATCCGGTATCAGGGATTGAATCCGGGTCCTTAACCACTAAAGTATCATCTCCCCAGCCCTTGTTTATATATATTTATATATTTATTTAGTTTATCATATAAAAGAAAACAAGTGATATTTAAGCTTGCATGTCTAACTTATTTCATTTAACCTCTATCTTTTTTAATCTTTTCTTTATTTTTTTGGTACAGAGTCTTGCTATGCGGCTCAGACTCACAGTGATCCTCCTGTCTCAGCCTCCCTAGTTCCAGGATTACAGGTGAGTGCCACCATGTCAGGCTTTGGTAGCCTGCAAGGCGCAGGGGCCAGTATGGCATGTGATAGCAGGGACTGAACCTGGGTCCTTGAGCTTCCCAGGCAGGCGCTTAGACCGCTGAGCTATCTCCCCAGCCCTCACTTAATATTATGCTCTCAAGTTACATCCATTTAACTAGAGATGCTTCAAGTTCATCTTTTTATGGCAAAAGAGTACTTCATTGGGTACAGACATCATATTTTCTTTATTTGTTCTTTTTTTTGGGGGGGAACTGGGGATTGAACTCAGGTCCTTATGCTTGCCAGGGAAGTGCTTATTCCACTGAGCCATCTCCCCAGCCCCTCTTCATTTGTTCTTCTGGTGATGGGCATGTAAGCCATTTCCAAGATTTAACTATTGTGTGTTGTGCCACTGTGTGTGACTCTATCCCTGTGATATGATGTCTTTAACCCTCTGGGAGGTTGCTACTGAGGACTTTGATAAGGATGGCGAGATCAAGAAATAGGGCTCAACTCACTGTTCGTGGCCGTGACGGTATCGGTGCACTGGACCAGCAAGGTTTCCCCTCTGAACCCTTTCACTTGGATAACGTATGTCTCATCCACATCTAGCCACACATCTGTCAGGTCACAGAATGATCTGGTGATATTCGTACATTTCTCGATAATCTTGAGATCTTCTTTTTTACTTTGGAAAGAAATGGAAAACTTAAGCTCTTACAGAATGAGAATCCACTTCTGTGCCTCGCTTCCTCTTTTCCTTTCAGGCAATTATCGCGGTACCAAACTGACTTCTCTACCCACTTTATTTGAAAATGGAACACTTCATACTCTCTCAGGTTTCACTCTCAATCCCTCTCACTCTTCAGTTTTCTTCATAGCATTTACCTCCACCTGCCACCTCACGCTTTTGTTTCTTTAATGATGTCTTCACCTGCTTTCAGAATCTCCATTTTCAGAGGGTAGGGACTTAGGGTCACAGGATGGATGAATGAACGTCGGGCTTTCATGGTAGAGGCCCAAGACCTTCCTCTCTCTCCTTCAAGAGGAATCACTGCTTTCCTTGAGAGCCACACCCTCTCTGCCATGGTCCAGTCCTAAGCTCACCTTGTGCTAATTAGGAACAACACAAATATCACATCTACCATGCTACAGAAGCCTGTGATTACTCAATGCACACAGAAACCTTAAGACTCTAGCAGGTCAAAGGGAAACTCACAACAAACCCTCTGGAAGGCCTGCAGCAACTGTTATAAGCCAAAAGCAACAAAAGGACACTCCATGGGAATACTGATCAAAGAATGACTTATCATCTATGACATCACTAGCCCTTGAGCCAGCCCCTCAGTGGGGACATCAGCTCAGAGAGGTGGAGCACCACACCAAACAGAAAGCTGATTTGTGACAATAGTAGGCTTTGGACCCAGGCTTGTCTTGGACTAGGCCAGTCAGTTTTCTAGTGTCTACCATGCTCTCATGAGTAAAGAAAAGTGAACATAAACCACCAGACCTTTGGAAAATATCAGACTACTAAAAATTCCAATTAATTAAATTAAATTAATTATTGGGAAAACCACTGACCTATCATAAACACAAACTTTGTCAAAATAGTTTTGGATTATTAAAGTATTCAATTGAATTAAAGATGAATGAGTATTTTGCCTTTGGCTTTTTAAGGTTCTGAGTAAGAAATGAAGAGACAGAGAACATAGTAGAAAGATAACACATTTAGCAGGAGAAAAATGGAACATGAACTAACCTCATGATTGTATACTCTAATGCATAGTGAGTTGGTACAATGGAGTGGTTTTTCAACTCCCATGATAAGATTGAGCGGTATTTTCTAAATGCCATCTTGAAATTACAGTGTTCAACATAAGCACCTAAAGAGAATAGGATAGGGGAAAAAGAAAAAAAACCATTGAATTTGGAAACCTGAAGATTTTGAACCCATGCCCAGTAGAGGTCTTGGAACTACAGAAAGTCTACACACTATTATCATTCATTGATAAGTAACATATTATCTGAGTAGGAAAGTTTAGGAACCAGGAACTCAGCACTTGGTAAGCAGAATTTAGACAGAAGGCCTTCCCCAACTCTCACAGACCTTCAGAAGTTTATAGGACCCAAATGACCCAGGACGTTCCGAACCACCCCGCACATTTCCTTGCTCCTTCTTCACTGCATCCTCTCAACTCAGTTCAATGCACTGCATGCTTTCCTTTCTCTGTACTCCTCGCCACATTTATTCTCTTGGTCACAGCACACCATGGGCTCCACTTGTCCTTTGGGGTGTTAAGCCCCACAACAATGCAGAAGTAGGTGCTATTAATAGACCTGTTTTCTAGAGTGAGTTTTGAAACTAAGCTGAGTATACAATATTATGCACCAGGAAGTGGTTAGTGACAACTAGGACTCTAGTGTTCTGCTCTTTAAATTCTGCATTACAGAATTAAAATTTGAAAGCTCAGTGACTATTGTTAAGACCCAAGCCTTTGCATTTGCATCTTCAGGCCCCACTACTGATCAGAAGGCTACGCACACCCCTGATGCTTAGTCAAATTTTGTGGGCCGATTAATACATATGAGCAAGAAGTGGAGCTACAAATTATTTGTCCTTATCTGGAACTAATGGGTGGAAAAAGGCAAATGAAAGAAATTACTCATGAATTACTTTTTGTTTGGCATAATAGGTATTTCCTTATTTTCTCTTAGAATATTAAGAGTTAAGGGGTTTTGAAAATGATCTCTTGTTTTTTGTAACAGTTTTGTGAGGCAATTTTGAAAAACAGAGGTGGCAAATTTTGGCTCCTTTTATACAAAAAGGGCTTCAATAAAATAGGTAATAGATGTCAGGCCAGAAGTAAACTTTCTCATATTTTTATGTCTAGATCGTCCCCCTAGTACTCTGAATCTTATATAAAATTTAACCAAGCCAAGAACATCTCTTACCAGGAGGATCGGGTGAAGCATCCAACGCTAGGCTCATGTACACTAAGAGGAAGAAAAACAAGTTAGAGAAGCAACAATGATTTATCTGGATTCAACTTAAAATGACTACACTAAGTTTGCATTACTTAAAGTATTAATTATCACATGCATTAATATTACACTGAGATTTTCTTGTGCTGACCAAAAGTTCAGGCAAATGGTTCTTAGGTGACACCAGTGGCATCAGTGGCTGGTCCCAGGATTGCATGGAATGGACTCAATGGAAGACTAATTTAGGGGCTGACACTAGAACTAGGGTTGGGTTTGTTGAGGAATGTCCTGAGGATCAGGTACTTGTCTGAAAAACTTCCTCAGAGTATAAATAAGTGTGTTTCTAATAAATAGTTTTTAAAAGTAAAGACAGTTACTAAGGGTGATGGAGGATGAAAGGGGTTCATGATAATCATTAACGAATCTCCCCTCCTTGGCTGGGAGGGTGGAGACATTTGTTTCCTGGATGTCACAATGATTTGGGGGATGAATTTTCTGGTATTTTTAGAAGGTGGATATCAAGAATGCTGGGCATTAGCCAGTACAGGAACAGTTTGCCCAAGATAGCTATCCCCCTTGTGTGTCCCCTTGTCAATAAACTACATAAGAGATGACACTGAAACGAAACTGAATCAAAAAGAAGGTAGAGAAGAGACATGAAGGAATAGTACTGCAGAAAAAAAGGTGGAAAATAAATAAAGTGTAGAGACTAGAGTTCAGGGCGACTTTTCATCCTGGTGGCCATAGTAAGAGATAAGGGGCTGGCGTCTCCCTAAATACAGCAGCAGGGTAATACAGCCCACTCAGTGACATAGTAAGAGCAATTACTCTTAACATTGACTTACAAGGATGGTCTCCAATATTGTGGAGCTTTATGTTATGTTTGCTTATTTGTTTGTCTTCCTAAAATTAACAATAAGCAGAAACCCATACTGAATTCAAGCCATCAGCTCCAGCTTCCTGGCTACTGTCCCACAGACATCTGGCATCAGATGAGCTGATCTGGGTCCTGCAGTCAGGAACACTGGTTTACTGCTACGCACGAAAGCTCTGGCTGAGGGTAACACACATTCCCCTCTCCAAGGGCCAGGATGAGCAGTAACACTCACCTACGAGACACCAAGTAAGTGATCTGATGGCCGAGGCACAGTGGCTCAAATGCATCTTCTTGTTGTAATCCTTCCCTTACTTTTACATCTGAAAGGAAATCAATATTAGGATATCAAAATTTTCAAGTGTCTAATGAGATTGTAAAAATAAAAACAAGATGAGAAAGACCCCAAGAAAGTGGAAATTCATCATGGGTCCCTTTCCCACCCTCCCAGGAACAGGCCATCATTCAGACAGCTTCTAGCACCAATCCCCTACCCAGCAGGGAGAAGTATTAATTAAAGGCAATCTTTGAACAGCTAATAGTCATTGGGCTAAAAAAGAAAAGTAAGCATATGAAAAGCTGAACAGTGGAAAGCCTTGCTTCCATTGAGAAAGTACTTTCTTTATTGATTTTGGTGAACCCTTGGAATGTCTTTATGCATATATAGATATAGATATAGATATAGATATAGATATAGATATAGATATAGATATATATTATTTCCCTCCTCATGTAGACAAGAGATAGCAGGTATAGTACCTGTTCAATTTCAATGTTTTTCTACTTAAAATTTTATTTGGCAGATCTTCCCCATCCTCATCAGAAAGAGAAATTTCTTCTTTTTGTTTTCTAAATAGTTGCATAATGTTGTGTTCTATGGTCAGAACATCAAGTATGTAGCTAATTCCCTATGCTGGACATCTGAATTGTTTTCAATCTTTTCTGCAAGGAATTTTCTTAGCACATATCACTGGCCCCTGAGCAAGTCTATGTGTAGAGAAATGTCCAGGTGTATGATTGATACATGTTAATTGCAAAATGTCCCCTAAAAGAACATGTGTTGAAAACTTAATCCCCATAACAAAATGGAAAGATATCCCTTGCTTTTTGGTGGGAAGAACCAATACAGTGAATATGACCACACTTCCAAAACTGTTATAGAGACTTAATGTATTCCTACCAAAATTCCAACAGTATATCTCACAGAATTACAGAAAACATTACTAAAATTCAGTTGGAACCAGAAGAGACTGAGTATAGCAAAGGTAATTCTGAGCAACAAAAAAAGGCATCCCTGTTTTTAATCCCTGACTTAAAATACTACAAAGCTTCTGTGATAAAAACAGTATGTACTGGCTAAAAGAAGACCCAAGGATCAGTAGAATGGATTAGAAGATGTAGAAACAACTCCAGACACACTCAGCTACTTTATCATTGACAAAGGTACCAAACACATTCACTGGAAAAAAGATAGCCTCTTTATCTTGGTGCTGGAAAAACTGGCTTTGCATGTGGTGAAGTTAAAACTGGACACATATCTTTCACTGTGCTCTAAACTAAAGTCAAAAAGGACCAAAGATCTAAATATTAAAACAGAAACATTAAATCTGCTAGAATGTAGAATAGGTAAAACTCTTGAAGACACTGGTGTAGGCAAAAATTTTATGACTGTACTAGAAATATCATAAAGAATAACAACTGGGATGTCATCTTATTAAAAGATGATATATACATCAAGATGAAGCCACCAATAGCATGAAAAGACAACCCATGGTGTGGGGAAAGTGTTTGCCAGCTGCTCCTCAGACAAAGGCTACTACTGAGAACATATGAAGAACTCAAAAAAATCAAACCACCCAATGTAAAAATGGGCATTGAATACATGCTTCTCAGATGAAGTACAAATAATCAATAAATATATGAGAAAACATTCAACATCATTGGTCATTTGAGAGATATGGTTGAAAACAACACTGAGATTCCATTTTTTCCCAGAAAAAAATGGCTATTATCAAGAAATCAACCAGTAACAGATGTTGGTGGGGCTGTGGGAAAAAGGAACCTTCTCCACTTTTGATGGGAGTATAGACTGGTGCAACCACTGTGGAAATCAGTGTGGAGATTCCTCAAAAAGCTAGCATTAGGGTCCAGCCAGATAGCTCAGCAGATTAAAGTTCCTGCTTAGGCAAGCTTAGGCAAGCACAGGGACTGTGGTTCGATCCCCCGCACCACATACTTCACCAGCCCCACCCCCAGGTGTGCTGAGCTGAGAGTCTGGGAGTGGTGGTGCACACCTGTAAGCCCAGGGCTGGGGAGGCTGAAAGCAGGAGGATCATCATGAGTCTGAGCTGCGTAATGAGACCCTGCAAAAACCAAATACATTAAAAAAAAAAATCTAGGATTCAAGATTCCATTTGAGTCAGCCATTCCCCTCCTGGGTATCTTCCTGAAAGAATTAAGAGTATCATACCGCAGGGATCTGTGCACACCCATGTTCATAGCAGTGCAAGTTTGTAAGAGCCAAATCTTGGAAACAACCCCCATGTTCATAGCAGTGCAAGTTTGTAAGAGCCAAATCTTGGAAACAACCCAAATGCTTGTCAACTAGTGAGTGGATCTAGAAGATGTGGGGTTTTTAATACAACAGACTGCTATTCCGCCATAAAGAAGGATATGCTTGAGATATTTCTAGAAAATGGATGCACCTTGAGACCATACTCTTAAGTGAAATAAATTGGACACACATGTGTAAGTATCATATTGTTTCTCTGGCATGAGAAACTGAAAGTTTAAATAAGGGACAAAATGTATATTAGGTATTGTAAAGTAGTAAAAACATGCTCAAACGGGGAGGGGGGTTGTATATGGTGAGATTTTTGGACTTATGTGCAAACATGAGAAGTATAGAATTCTTTATCCTATTTTTAAAATATAATCTAATTTTTAAATGTTTTTTATCATATTATGTAGGGACTTAAAGTTCAACATATCAATACTTGATGAAAAATACCTGTTCCTTATTATGCCTAAGATGTTTGAAATGCAGTGAGATAGTGAGGTTAAGCTTGATAGCCTAAATCGTTTGATAATAACAATAAGTTTGTCTTCTGGATGGTTAACAACCTAAATTTGCAGACCAAAATTAGAGAAAAAGGAGGGCTACAAGGAAAGCCAACATTTTGGCCCTAGCCTTCTAAGGTCAATTAAGACTCAGGACATATGAGAACTTGTACTGTAACGTCATGTACCTCGGTAGTGTCCCAAATTTTCTGATCAAGATTATGGGGCCAAAGAGGAAAGTGATTGATGACGTAGAGTGTGCCTAAGGAGAGTCACATGGGGAGAAGACACTCTCAGGCTTTCACAGAGAGCACATTGGCCAAGCAATGGCCGTGACTCATCCACATGGCTGCACTGACAAAGGTTCTACAATCGGAGGTGCAGGATCTCAGGATAAATCCTGAGGGCATTTCACTGACCTTCTCAGACCAAAAAGCTACAACTCTTGTTGCATAGGTCCTGCTTTACTTTGGTCTTAACCATCCGGTAGAAAAGTATGAAGACGAAATATAGGAAGTAAAGCCATGCTGTTATGTTGAGCTGTGGGGGACTCAGGTCAATAATTTCTGACATTGCCAGTTAAACAGAAGACCCAATGCTATTATGGGCTACTGGTCTCTTTTAGAATATTTTGCTGAGTTTACACACCTATAATATTCAATAACGGAACTTAGAAAAAATGGGGTATACCGATGAATGTCCATTTTGTATCTGTATATTCAAAGTGGTTAGGATAGATATATAGTTGCATTCTCTTAATGAATAGAATGATTTGTTCTAATGGTGTTTGTAAATAGGATCACAAGTCCGCATCTTGTACAGCAATTAACCACTAAGAAGAATATATGCAGTGTATTATTTGTTGAAACTGTACTTCCGATTTGATTTGAAACTGTCTCATTGCTATCTGTTTATCAATAAAACTTTGAAAAAAAATGGGGAGGGGAACAAGGGAGATGGGGGAGTAAAAGAGAAAAAAGGAAAACATGGAAACAAAGTTTTTGTAAATGGGAAGGGGAGAAGTTGAAGGGAGGGTAGGGGAACAGGAAAAAGGACAAGATATATTACATACAGGTACACATTCCCTATGATAGATGAGATTATTATGTATATCTAAACTGTACCAATAAAATCTAATTTAAAACCTTAATCTCCAATATCAGTGTAGAGAGGCAGTTAAGTCACCAGTGCTTGGCCTTCCGGAAGAGATTTACAATGACACAGAGGGAGTAGGCTCATTACTGAGAGTAGACTGGTTGCAGGGACAAGCAGGCATATTGGAAGGGAACTGAGAGGTGGAGAGAGACAGGGGTAGGAAAGAAATGAGAGAGAAAGGCGGGGATTGTGAAGTGTTGTGTATGTGCACCAAGCTCCTACAAGGACGTGATCATTGTGCACTACCAACATGCACAGAAAATTAAATACACACACGAAGGGGCCCAAGAGATGCAGGGATGGGAGGGTACAGTGGGAAAAAGAATAAAAAAAAGAATTAAGAAGTACCATGTACATACACTCACTCATCACAAGGAATGTTAATCATTACATACTACAAACATGTTCTAATAAACAGAGAAACAAAAATAAAATCAAAACAAAATTTCTATGCTCTATCAGGGGCCTGAGTTAGGAGGATCACAAGGTGAAGCCCAACCTGGGCAATTTAGTAACCTAGCAAGAGGCCCTGTCTCAAAATGTAAGAGAAAAGAGGACAAGAGGTAGAGCTCAGTGTAAAGTCCCTGGGTTCAATCCGAAGTACCAAAAAAGAAAAGGAAGAAAAGTAAAAAGGAAAGGAAAGGAAGGCAATCCTCCCCCAGCTGTAGACTCCCCGCCAGGAGATTCCTGGTCATTACCCATGACATGTGCAGTGTGCTGCCCCCTTACCTGCCTGTCTTCTTGCTATGAATCACCATCTCCACCACGACTCCATGGTAGAGGGGATGCACATTTGTGACCACAGCCCCTAGACACAGGGTGCTTCCACACTGCAAATGTCACATCTGCCTTGTGCCTTTGGTGACTCTGCCCTTTTTCTGATTGTGGTACATCTTTGTCTCTGTTACACATGTGCTGCTAGACTTCAGCAGCTGAGGAATCACACACACACACACACACACACACACACACACACACACACACACACTGAAACCAAAAATGTCCCCTTGTTTTGTTCCTGGTGACCCATATTCCAGTTGGAACCAGTTGTCTAATAATCAGCCTCATGCTTGTTTGCGAAATCTAACTGCCCATCTTGCTTGAATTC